TACAAGATGCATGCACACATCTTGCTAAATTTCTTTCCCAGCCTGGAAATGAAGTTACCTGTCCATATTTCTTCCTAATCTGTTTTTGTGCCATGCTCATCACTATGCTGTCTGGGGACCCGATATTGATTAGCACTGGGATTTCATAAAGGTATTTATGAAGTCATTCATAGGATCAATAAGGTAATAGCCCCAAGACTTTAAAAAAGAAATCTAGCTAGTTTATAGAAGGATCAGTTGCTAATTTGAGGAGATTCAACCAGGTAAAGAGGGGAGGTTGGCAGTACTTCTGATATTGTTGCACCTTTGTTTTGTGCAATGGCAAAAGCAATTATGGAGGTATAATGAGAGGCATATATGATGGTAGGTGAAACACTAACCATTATAAATGGTGAATTAGGAAGAGAAATTATATAACTTTACTGAAAATGATGAAATTAAACATATAATACGTTGATTTCATTTTGCATGTAAGTGCACGTTCACTAAAAATCAATTACATCAAAATAGTTGTTTTCACGGTCACTTTTTATATTAAGGGTCCATTCACAAATGGTTTCTAAATGGTTAATAAATGATGAATAGCTGCTATAAGCATATCAGAGATATTCATAGTAGGGGTCATATGCACTTCACTAGAAGATGTTATAGATGTTTACAACCCATGGTTATAAGCTACCTGTTGACTTTGGGGATTTAATAACTATAACAGTTGATTAACTATTTATTAAAATAGCTAGGAATTATCTACTAACACTTTATAAACTATTTTTAAATGGGACCTCAGTATAAAGTCTGACCAATTTAAGGTAGAATGTTTGTTCTGGGACAAATAAGGTAACTTGTTTTCCTAAATAATTGCCATATGAATAATATATTTAGCCGAACACACAGACACTGCCTATATGGGATATTCTGGGACTATATTACTAGGAAGAGATGGGATCCACCTTACAAAGAGAGGGAAGAGCATCTTCGCAGGCAGGCTTGCTAACTTAGTGAGGAGGGCTGTTAAGTAGGTTCGCTGGGGGATGGTGACCTAAGCCCAGAGGTAAGTGGGGGAGTGGGATCCCAGGAGGAAACGCAAGGAGGAGGGTACAAAACGGGAAGCCTCCTGATTCATACTGAGAAAGTAGGGCAATTGGCTAGTTATCTTAGGTGTATGTACACGAACGCAAGAAGCCTGGGAAACAAGCAGGAAGAATTGGAAGTCCTGGCACAGTCAAGGAACTATGAGGTGATTGGAATAACAGAAACTTGGTGGGCAGTTCACATGACTGGAGCATTGTCATGGATGGGTATAAACTGTTCAGGAAGGACAGGCAGGGGAGGAAAGGTGGAGGAGTTGCATTGTATGTAAGAGAGTGGTATGATTGCTCAGAGCTCCAGTTTGAAACTGGAGAAAAGCCTGTTGAGAGTCTTTGGGTTAAGTTTAGAGGCAAGAGGAACAAGGATGATGTTGTGGTGGACATCCGCTATAGACCACTGGATCAGAAGGATGAGGTAGATGAGGCTTTCTTCAGACAAGTAACAGAAGTTTCCAGATCACAGGCCCTGGTTCTAATAGGGGACTTCAGTCACCCTGCCATTTGCTGGGAGAACAATACAGCAATGCACAGACAATCCAGGAAGTTATTGAAGAGTGTTGGAGACAACTTCCTGGTACAAGTGCTGGAGGAACCAACTAGGGGCCGTGCTCCTCTTGACCTGCTGCTTACAAACAGGGAAGAATTGGTAAGGGAAGTAGAAGTGGGTGGCAGCCTAGGCAACAGTGACCATGAGATGGTTGAGTTCAGGATCCTGACAAGAGGAAGAAAGGAGAGTAGCAAAATATGGACCCTGGACTTCAGAAAAGCAGACTTAAACTCCCTTAGGAAACTGATGGGCAGGATCCCCTGGGAGGCTAATATGAGGAGGCAAGGAGTCCAGGACAGCTGGCTGTATTTTAAAGAAGCCTTATTGAGGGCACAGGAAGAAACCATCCCGATGTGCAGAAAGAATAGCAAATATGGCAGGTGACCAGCTTGGCTTAACCGTGAAATCTTCGGTGAGCTTAAACTCAAAAAGGAAGCTTACAAGAAGTGGAAATTTGGACAGATGACTAGGGAGGAGTATAAAAATATTGCTGGAGCATGCAGGGGTGTCATCAGGAAGGCCAAGGCACAATTGGAGTTGCAGCTAGCAAGGAATGTGAAGGGTAACAAGAAGGGTTTCCACAGGCATGTTAGCAACAAGAACTAGGTCAGGGAAAGTGTGGGACCTTTACTGAATGGGTGAGGCAACATAGTGACAGATGATGTGGAAAAAGCTGAAGTATTCAATACTTTTTTTGCCTTGATCTTCACAGACAAGGTCAGCTCCCAGACTGCTGTACTGGGCAACAGAGTATGGGGAGGAGGTGAGCAGCCTTCAGTGGTGAAAGAACAGGTTAAGGACTATTTAGGAAAAGCTGGACGTGCACAAATCCATGGGTCCAGATCTCATGCATCCAAGGGTGCTGAGGGAGTTGGCTGATCTGATTGCAGAGCCATTGGCCATAATTTTTGAAAATTTGTGGCATTCAGGGGAGGTCCCCTGGAAAAAGGCAAATATACTGCCCATATTTTAAAAAGGGAAGAAAGAGAACCCGGGGAACTACAGAGCGGTCAGCCTCACTTCAGTCCCTGGAAAAATCATGCAGCAGGTCCTCAAGGAATCCATTTTGAAGCACTTGGAGGAGAGGAAGGTGATCTGGAACAGTCAACATGGATTCAACAAGGGCAAGTCATGCCTGACCAACCTGATTGTCTTCTATGATGAGATAACTGGCACTGTGGATATGGGGAAAGTGGTGGATGTGATATAGCTTGACTATAGCAAAACTTTTGATATGGTTTCCCACAGTATTCTTGCCGCCAAGTTAAAGAAGTATGGAATGGATGAATGGACTATAAGGTGGATAGAAAGCTGGCTAGATTGTCGGGCTCAGCGGCTAGTGATCAATGGCTCGATGTTTAGTTGGCAGCCGGTATCAAGTGGAGTGCCCCAGGGGTCTGTCCTGGGACTGGGTTTGTTCAACATCTTTATTAATGATCTGGATGATGGGATTCTTTGCACCCTCAGCAAGTTTGCAGGGGACATTAAGCTGGGGGAAGAGGTCGATATGCTGGAGGGTAGGGATATAGTCCAGAGTGATCTAGACAAATTGGAGGATTGGGCCAAAAGAAATCTGATGAGGTTCAACAAGGACAAGTGCAGAGTCCTGCACTTAGGAAAGAAGAACCCCATGCACCGCTACAGGCTGGGGACCAACTGGCTAAGCATCAGTTCTGCAGAAAAGGACCTGGGAATTACAGTGGACGAGAAGCTGGATATGAGTCAGCAGTGTGCCCTTGTTGCCAAGAAGGCCAACGGCATATTGGGCTCTATTAGTAGGAGCATTGCCAGCAGATTGAGGGAAGTGATTATTATCCTCTATTCGGCACTGGTGAGGCCACACCTAGAGTATTGCATCCAGTTTTGGTCCCCCCACTACAGAAGGGATGTGGACAAATTGGAGAGTTCAGTAGAGGGCAACAAAAATGATTAGGGGGATGGGTCACATGACTTACGAGGAGAGGCTGAAGGAACTGGGGTTATTTAGTCTACAGAAGAGAAGGTGAGGGGAGATTTGATAGCAACCTTCAACTACCTGAAGGGGGGTTCCAAAGAGGATGGAGCTAGGCTGTTCTCAGTGGTGGCAGATGACAGAACAAGAAGCAAATGTCTCCAGTTGCAGTGGGGAAGGTCTAAGTTGGATATCAGGAAACATTATTTCACTAGGAGGGTGGTGAAGCACTGGAATGCATTACTTAGGGAGGTGGTGGACTCTCCATCCTTAGAGGTTTTTAAGGCCCGGCTTCACAAAGCCCTGGCTGAGATGATTTAATGGGTGTTGGTCCTGCTTTGAGCCCACCTATTCTGATACTTACTACTTCTGGTTAGTTTTGTTTCTCTAATACGAGTCAAAAACTGCATCCAATCCTTAAATATTAATAAAAAGATAACCTTGATTTATGTGAAATTGTTCAACACATTTTATAGAGTTGTCTATAATTCCTCTAATGACTGGGGCTGAGATTTTCAAAGTTGCCACAGAGAATTAGAGGTAATGTTTTTAAAAATGCCTAAATCCCATTTCAGAAGTGATTTAGTGGCTTAGGAGCCTAAATTCCATTGACTTTCAATGAGACTTAGCTTCTCAGTGCTTCAGTGACTTTTGAAAATGGGACTTAGGCTCCCAATCACATAGGGTAGCATTTTCAAAAGTGCCTAAGTGCAGACTTCCTATTGAAATTCCCTTTTTAATTTTTTTAATTGAAATGCTAGAGGTGTCACACCCTCTTGCCATTCTTGGTCATTCAGTCATCCTTTTATAGTCTTTTACTGTATTATTTGTGCTAATGTATGTCTCTTCCTGGGCATGATCAGAATATGCAATATCACCCCTATGTTCCCTGGAGTCATTATGCCCATGTGAAGTATAATGGACACCAGGGGAAGGTTGCAGAGGAGTGGATCTTGCTACACTTATGCAAATGTAGAGTAGGCAGTTGAGCCATCTCAGCCATGCCTGATGTTCAGGAAGCAGGCCTTCTCTGGGACTGCTAGCCTAATGGGCAATGCAAGGCAGTGCTTCTTGCCTTCCCCAGCACAACCAGCCATGTTGTTACTGTCTCCACTGTAGGGCAGCCATAGTTTGGCCCTCTCTGTCCACATCATTGAGAAATGTGCCATCACATGTAATCATGCAGAGTCTCTAGAGATTCGGTATACCTAGGTTTTTTTTTTTCAGTCTTGACCTAGGTTCCTCTCTACAGCCTCCACCACATACGCTTTCCCAGGGAAAGTTTTCATCTTCTGAGTCCCAGAAATAATATTTAACTTAAACTGTTTCTGTAGAGGCTTTACATTCGTTGCACCCTTTTTATTGTATTGTATTTTAATGTGTTTGTTGAAAAGTATTTCTGGTTTTTCTGCAGGCTATACATAGACGGTCCTTTTGGGAGTCCCTCTGAAGAATCCTTGAATTATGAGGTTAGCCTCTGTGTGGCTGGAGGCATTGGAGTAACTCCATTCGCATCAATACTCAACACGCTGCTGTATGTGAGCCTAACCTCTTTAAAGCCATTTTCCCAGAGTTACTTCCGTGTTGCATATTGTAAATGCTTCCAGCATGTGCGTAACAACTATTCATGTAACACTGCCCTCCTGTGGAGAGAGGAACAGGGAGGAGGACTGATGTTTGCCATTGAAAATCCCAAATCTGTTCACGCTGGCTGTTCATGCCCAATGAATGCTAAAAGTGCAATGCTGAAAAAGTACTTTGGGTTGGACAGTGGTCCCTAAAGGTCTTATAGACAGTGCTTCCCATTCAATTGCCAGTGAAAAGTGAGTTTGAGCTCTGCCAAGTCCATTTGTTTACAATCCCAACCTTTTAATTAGAAAACTCCCCAGTCTGTGTTAGAGCAAGGTCAGGGACAGAGATAACAGGGGTGCTGAGAGTCAGGACTGAGGTGCATTTTCCTCACATGGGGAAGGTTGAGCAGTATCAGTGTGATGTATATTTGGCTTCAGTCACAGCTCCTTGCCTATCATTTTCAAGAACACTTAAGCTAGGTGTTTTACAGGAACTCAAAGGAGTCACGCATGCAACTCCCATTGAACTTAAATGGGACTTGGGCACCTAATTCTCTTAAGCCCCTTTGAAAATCCTAACCTTAATTGGCTCTTTTAAAATTATTATTATTGTTAATTTAAAACATTTTTAAAATCCAGTAAGACAAAATTTTTAGTGGCTCTCTTAATGGGAGATCGCTTCATTATTATTTTTATTACGTGTATCACACTGCTGTCTAGTAGCCCCAGTCACGGGCCAATACCCCACTGTGCTAGACACTGTACAAACTGAGCAAAGACGGTCCCTGGCCCAAAGAGCTTACAGTTGAAATTAGCTTACGAAGTGTTTTACAATTCACACATGACACACTTGTTCAGAGATCAGCTGGTAGCTGGAGTGAAATTAAAACCTTTTAAAGCCTGATTTTCAGAGATGCTGAGCTCACTCAACTCCCCTCAATCTCAGTCAGAGTCATGGGTGCTCAGCGCTTCTGAAAATCCGGCTTTTATGTGGCAGCTCCTGGTGCCCTATGCAGCCCTCAAAGAACCTAACAGGTTCCCTACTAATTTTCATCTCTCAAAGTCAATTGTTCATCTTGGAGCAGGGGCCTGGACTAGATGACCTCTTGAGGTCATGCTCTTTCGAACGGGGAGTACCATTTTCTGAAGCGCATTTTCATTTCTGCCAAAAGACTGGAGTCCCGATGGATATCCTGACTATTTTCTCCAGGGTGCGTTTATCCCTGACAGCGCTGAGCAAAAACGTCACATATCATAACTATGGGCCAGCAGTAGGTAATAAGACGGCTGCCTCTATCAGCATATTACTAGAGGCAGTGAAAGGCTTGTACAGACGTTGCCACAGCAGCTTAGTGTCCAGTGAATGTTTTCAATATCAGATAAAGGGACGCTTCCAAACACTGCATGCCATAGCCCAGCATTACAGTGAACCAATCTTGCTGCCATGCACTGCAATATTATACAATAGCAACAGCAAGAAATGTTTTGCTGTTAATATGTAAGGATATCAGCAATACAGAGCACCTGTCCACTGGATAGGCTGCCTGTTGTTTTTTGTCCCTTCATAGAAATTGAGATCAGCGGGGTGAAAATGATAACTGTTGTGTGCAAACTTGAGGGAGTAGGCAGGCAAAGCCCTTTTTGCTAAGGACATGCAGCTGTGGAGGATATTGGGGTATCCTTCAGGACTAGGATGCAGCCTTTTGTTTTCTGTTTGGTTTTGGTTTTGATATTTTCTGAGCAGCTGGGGTCTCCACTCGGGTATCTAATAAATGTTGCCTATTTATTATAAATCATGATTGTTTTTTTTAAAGAGAGTCTGAAGTTTTTTGGCATGGGTCAGGTGTCTATAAATTAATGATTAATTACAAGTAGTAATATTCAGTAACATGCGTATCAGTGGACACGGCATGTCGTACACACATCTTTAGCTGTGTAATGATACTGCACATTTATCACATCATAGCTTACTGTAGGTAGACCCAACCATGTACACCTCTACCCCGATATAACGCGACCCGATATAACACGGGTTTGCATACAACACGGTAAAGCTCTGACACACTGTTCTGAGCAGCGTGTTAAGGGTGCCGGGCCTGGCCGGGGCCAAGGGGTTGGATAAGGGGTAGAGGGTCTCGGGGGCGTTCAGGGGCTCCTCCCCCCCAGGGTCTAGGAGGTACAAGCTGTGGGAGGGCAATTTTTGGGGCCCCGCAGTCCCCCCTGCACTCACCGGCAGCGGCGGAAGCGGAAAAGTCCTGCTCCACTCTGCCAGCTCCCAGCCGCGGCGCTCCGCTACCTGCCGCAGGTGAGTGCGGGACCTTTCCCCAACACCCCCTCTCCCCCCAGCGACACGGCTGAGGCTGGGGCTGGGGCAAGGAAAGCGGAGCGGGCTGGGGCCGCATCCCTCCACTTCCCTTTCCTGCCACTGGTGAGTGCGGAGGGCATCCTTTCCCCAACCTCCCCACATTCACCGGCGGTGGGAAGCGGACGGCCGCGGCTGGGAGGTGGCGGAGTGGAGCGGGCTGGGGCCACGTTGCTCCCAGGGGCGGCTCCGAGCACCAGTGCAGCAAGTGCGTGCCTGGGGTGGCAAGATGTGGAGGGTGGCTTGCCGGTCATCGTGAGGGAGGCAGTCAGGCAGCCTTCGGCAGCATGCCTGCGGGAGGTCCGCCGGTCCTGCGGCTTCGGCGGCGGGTACGCCAAAGGCGTGGGACTGGCAGATCACCCGCAGAAATGCCGCCGAATCCCGGTGACCAGCGGACCGCCCGCAGGCATGCCGCCAAAGGCCGCCTGACTGCAGTGCTTGGGGCGGCAAAAAACATAGAGCCGCCCCTGGTTGCTCCGCTTCCCGCTGCTGCCGGTGACTGCCTGTCAGGGGGCGGGTATGTGGATAGGGATCGGAGCAGTCAGGAGACCGGGAGTTGGGTAGGGGGTGGAGTCCTGGGGGTGATTAGGGACAGGGGTCTCTGGAGGGGGCGGTCAGGGAACAAGGAAGGGGGGAGGCAAAGCAAGTTCAACGCGGTCTCACCTATAATGCGGTGAGATTTTTTGTCTCCCGAGGACCGCGTTATATCGGGGTAGAGGTGTATGTTTGACTTGCCATTCATTTCACATGATGCATGCCACAAAACGGTATAGATCAACCTCGCATTGATTCAACCTAGCTCATTCCCACTGGCGTGTTTGCTCAAGTCAAAAGTCTGAATTGATAAAAGATGGTCCCCAGTGAATCCTCTTGTAATCTTGCAGTTCATTTATGCTGAGAGACATTAATTTTCTTTAATCATTTCAGAATGATGCGCTGGAGTAAATGGCTAGAGTTTATTACTTACGTACTGCACATATGATATTGTATTTGTGATCTCACCCCATATGGTCAGACCATTACCTTGGTTCTGATTTCTCCCAGCACAAACGACATACAAAATAGGGAGACATAACATTTGTCTGCAGGACAGCATTGTATGTGCAGCAGCTGGTGTCAGGTCATTAAGGATGCTGCACTCCCACTACAGACACACAAGGCGTGAAGCCTAGTGCAGCCAGCACCTTTCTGCAGGTTATGGAGAGTTCACACAAGGGGTCAGAGCCCCCACACCCTGTGTGCTATGGGGTATTTGCTCCACAGCGCCTCTGCAGGCCTGCCGTGGAGGGTTTAGGCATATGGAAAGGGACGGTGGCATATCCATCAGTTACACAGATGCGTTAGCAAAATGGCCCAGATGTTAGGGTTGGCGGGTGCCCGGTTTTCGACCAGAAAGTCCAGTTGAAAAGGGGACCTGGCAGTGTCTGGTAAGATGTACGGACTGGACACCAAAAGTCTGGTTACCATGGGCAGGGCGAGGAGGCACGAGGTCATCAGACTGTGCAAGTCCCTGCTCAGCCAGGACTGCCTCCTACCTGCACCTCATGGGCAGACAGGCAGGCTCTGCATCCGGCTGCAGCTCTAGAGCAGAGGGAGCCCAGCTTGGGCGGGAAGGGGGAGCTGGAGAGGATCCAGCTGTGAGGAAAGGAGAGGGAGGAGAGCAGCTGGGGGGGGGGCAAAAGGAGTGAGCCAGGGCAGGGCCTGGAGGAAAAGGAGGGGCTGGGGTGGGGTCTTAGGGGAAGAGGCAGGGCAGGGCGGTCCAGTTGGTAGCCATTATGAAGTTGGTAGCCCTAATGCTGGTATATGGGACCATAGCGCTACTGTAACTCATGTTGTGCAGTAGGAGATATGGAGCAGCTATGCCATTATCCCACACCTTGCCCCCTGGACATGGCATTTGGCCTAATACACACATATACTGCTGAATTTTGGAAGTCCAGAATGCAGCTGTGATGGTCTCCAATGGGTCTTTATGATCTGTAAATAGTTTTAAGGGGAAGTATTTTGTCTCCTAAATGGCTAAATTATAGGTAAGTAACAATAACATAAAGTCAGCCATGGCTGATCTGAGAAAAAATCATGCAGACTTTTTTTAAACATCTGTAGATCAGTAGATATTTTTCATGTTTATTTTCTAGCCTGGTTCATGGTGATCATCCCTCTTTTACTGAATTCATGTTTTGTCTCCATCTCCATTAGGAAACCTGGCACAAGTGTCATGTTTTCTAAACCAAATGCCAAACTTTGTCCATGAACATGCTTTACCCATTGAAGCTCTTTGGGGGAGTATACCTTTGTCTAGCACAATGGGGCTCTGACCTTGTTTAGGCCTCTGTGCATATAAAGTAATAATTGAAATTATCTGATGCTTGCATGCACCTGAATGCAGAATTTGGTCCTAACTTTGCTTTGGAGTTGCATTTTGTGAGGTTTGCATTCATCAGCATCACCTCCCCTGGGACGAACTGAGTTTGTGGAATGAACTCTGCCTTATAATTGCAATAAAGAATCCACACTATGTATTTGAAATGCACAGGCAGCTTTGCTTTTAGATAACAACTTTCATCTTGGTTATGATGTATGAATCAACATTCTTACCGTAAGTCATATATGCTGTCAATGTGCAGTATATACTGTTCGGCTGTAAAGACAGTATCCGTAAAGTGTGTTGTTCTGTGTTATGGGTTCAGTATTTAGACTGATTTGGGCATTTCAGTGTGATGGGGGGGGAACTAACTTCACTTAATAGAAATGGAAATTAACATTTGAACAATGAATATAAAGCATATTAATTAGTGTTAATTAATTCCCCAAACATATCATTTTCATTTTAAAGTGATGACTGGCAATGCTACAAGCTCAGAAGACTTTACTTTATTTGGGTGTGCAGGGAAATCCAGTCCTTTCGCTGGTTTGCAGATTTGCTGTGTATGCTGCATAACAAGGTAAAGGGAACGATTACACAGGGTTGGTTTTAAAGGGATACTGACAATAAACACATCTGTTTGAGTATATTTAGATTAGTAACAAAAGTGTTTCCATTAAACATGACTAGAGAAGGCTGGGACTTCAGAGGGACCAAACCAAGTTATGTGGTTTGGCAGCAAAATGCAGATGAAATTTGTTGTTGATGTACATGGAAAGACTGGTTCAAAGAGTCATGTGGGACAAAACGGATGAAATCCTGCCTCCCCTGAAGTCAATGGAAGTTTTGCCATTTCCTTCAGTGGAATCAGGATTTTACACACTCTTTCCCCCCCCCCCCCCAAAACAGGCAAGGATGTTGGGACAGGCCCTGCAGTCGGGGTTATGTGACCCTTCTTCAGGGACACACAGTCTCCTTGCATGGTCAAGAAGCTTGCTAGAAGGGGAAAAAAATGCATCTAGAGAGTCTGGGTGGATCCTTTCCTTTGAAGAAAAGTGAAACCCCAGCTCATCTAGTGAGCAGACTGAAGGAAGGGGGTGGGTGAGTGTTTATGGGAGTTGGAAGTCCTCTTCAGTTCTCAAAACAGAGATCAGGTGGATTTTCAAACTATTTAAAAATCTTTTTAGAAGAATTTCTTCACTATCCTGGGATGTAAAGAAGCTTCTGGGTAAAAGAAAGATATGTAAATGTGTCATTTTCATTAACGTGTCCACTGCATCTTCTGTGAAGATCCAGCTTAATCAGGGTACTGGACAAGAGCAACTGCATTCTTCTCTAAGAGGAGACGTATTAATTCACTTGATGTTTTTCTGATCCTCCCAGCTTTGGCAGGAAAACCGCCCAGACTATATAAACATCCAGCTGTACCTCAGTCAAACAGATGGGATACAGGTATGTGGCTAAATGCTGTTTATAAACCTAACTAGATCTGTTGGTGGTAGACAACACAAACTGCCAATTAAGCATGAAATGGAATGATTGCAGATGGTTTAAGCTGACAATAAGGGCTAACTCTCTCAGTAAGATTGCATCACAAGTCCAGCCCCACAATACTGGAAGAATGAAGTCTGGTAGCATTCAGTTGATTATCAATGGGCAGAGATCCATATCTCCCTCCACTAGGAAAGAGGTCCTTCAGGCCAGGCCACAGACTAGACAGTTGGCAGAGCTTTGTGGGAAACTTGCATCATTCCTGGGCTGAGGATCAGGCTGGAATAATTCTAGCCCCAAACTTTTGAAAGCAAACACATTGTGAGAAACTGGCTATTTTTAAAAATCCCAATTGGTTTCTTTTTGTGTTGTTTTTGTCTCGAATGTTTGAAGAAGTCAAACTTTTTAAAGTATGCAGCCAGAAAATGTACTGAACTGTTCACGGTATGCCAGTTTAGAGAGTTGGATTTATTCCCCACTGGCTGGAACTTTGTGTAGCCATTTATACATGGGATGCGGTGACCTGGATGTTAGCATTTTACATCCATTTTGCACTGATGTAGCACAGATGTAAGAGCCCGATTCTTCACACTCGAAATTAATGTGAGTTTTGCCATTAACTTTGATTGGCATCGGATCAAGCCTTAAATTACTACACAAGGTGAAAGGCAGTCAAGAATCAGGTCTGTTGGGTTTCGATCTCCTTTCTAGCAGATGAAGATAAGATACAATTTATAGTTCTGATGAGAACTACCCCAGTACACAGGGCTTGCTGCTGGGCTCCAGCTAAATAATCTGCCAGCAACAATTCTGAACAATCTTCCAAATATTCAATGCTAGTTCCAAATAACTGGATGGGATATCTCTGCCGGCATGGAGATAATCCAATATATGATTAATTAACAGGCAAGAAATGACTCGGTTCAAGTCAAAACATCCAAGATGAAGCTGAATGTCAATGTAATGCAGTTTAGAATATTTACTCTTAAATTGTGTGTCCAGTAGCTACTGACTTTGTATTAGAACTCCTTTTCTTTTTTATGGCCATTTGGTAGAAAAGGTGGCATCAAGTATAGAACTGTATACAATGAGGGCTAAATTTTGTCTTCAGTTACACTGGCATAAATCCAGATTTGAACAGTTACTCCACATAGTTCAAGGGAGCACTGGATGCAAGTCTCCATTGCCCTGCACTTGTGCTGTTATTGACACCAATCCAAAGTGAGTGTAAAATGCTACCAAACCAGAATAGTGTCACGTTTTACTCCCTCTGCACTGAGTGACCCGAGATGCAGGACACCAGAGAATCAAGCCCATTTTTTTTCCAGAAAATGCTTTCAGCTATGGTAAAAAAAAACAATGTAAAATGGTTCAAGCTTAGAATGTACTTTTGTATTAGTATAATAGACGGTTTAGATCATTCGATTATGGGGTGAACGCAGAAAATCAGATCAGATATAATTCTTCTCTAGCCACATGTTACATGATATTAGGACAGTAAAACAAGGAACGGTAATGCAATGCAGTGGAAACAGGTTTGGCTTCATAAAGAGAGGTCAGCTGGGATTTTAGTGAGTTAGAATTGCTAGAAGAATCCTGTGCTCACTCCAAGGACCCAGCTTTGGTGCTTGATACTGCTGAGGCTGTTCAAAGAAACTGGTAAACCATCCTCTAGAGCAGGTGTAGGCAACCTATGGGCACGGCACGCGAGCTGATTTTCAGTGGCACTCACACTGCCCCGGTCCTGGCCACTGGTCCGGGGGGGCTCTGCATTTTAATTTAATTTTAAATGAAGCTTCTTAAACATTTAAAAAACCTTATTCACTTTACATACAACAATAGTTTAGTTATATATTATAGACTTATAGAAAGAGACCTAAAAACGTTAAAATGTATTACTGGCACACGAAACCTTAAATCAGAGTGAATAAATGAAGACTCTGCACACCACTTCTGAAAGGTTGCCGACCCCTGCTCTAGAGGTTTCCATTGTCATTTTTTCAGCCCCAGTTAGCTTAGGTGTTACTTGTACCAATAGTAGGTAAAAATACTTCAGACAGAAATGTGATTTTTCCTATGTGGACAGTGTCCCTTTAAGGGTAGCAGTGAAGGCAAACTAGGGAGTGAGTAATGAGAATATAACTATTGCTCTATGTATTAATTGACAAATTGGTTTAAAAATAATGTGGAGACTAATAAGCAGCTATATAAGAAACGGCACACAACCCTGAAGATGGCTGTTCAAAAGGCAAGGAGCCGAGGTATTGATGCCTAGAAATGGCTGCAGTTTAAGTCACTTGGTTTGATACTTAGTTCAGTTTTTACATTTCAGCTATTTGGTAAGTCAGCCAGGGCAACTACCAGACCAGTATGCAAGCTTTGAGTGATGTGTAACAATGTACAAAACACACAGCAACTGAATTTATTGTTTCTCACAGAAAATAATTGGTGAAAAATATCAGGTCCTGAACTCGAGGCTTTTGATTGGACGACCTCGTTGGAAACTCCTTTTTGATGAAATAGCCAAGTGTAACAGACAGTAAGTACCAATCTTGATGGGTTTTGCCATAGCTTGAGGGATGGGGATTGTGTATGTTTAATAAACAGTTATTTGTATGGAAATGACTTGGGGGTTTATCTTATCATGTAACATTCAAGCTACTGATGTTAATATTATCGAATGTGTTGCAGCTGAAAGATGGACTGTAAAAAAAAAAAAAGAAATCTTTCCGTTTGAGCTATCAGAGCAGTTCATCTTTTCCTGCAACTAAACCGTTCAGTGGCCCAGGCAATAAAAATCATATTTCTGTGTTACTACACAGCGATTGTACATGTTTTAATCCTTTGCTGTAATCAGTATCTTGCTTGCAACGTATGCCAGTTTTATATTGAAGGATATAATTGGTGCTTTCTGCAGTTACTTTTACAATTTACAGTTTGAATAATAGAAATGCAACAGTAAAACACCGGCCGTATTCTACTGTGTTATGTCTTTGTTCAGAAGATACATTTTCTTTGGGGGGTACCAGTGCTATTTATTGTTTAAGAGCTGACTCTGTAATCAGTACTGTACGAGGCAGAGCTTACAGTCTAGACAAGGCAGATGTAGGATAAATGAGACACACACCAAATTATTGAGTCACCTCTTCTGGATTTAATTTAACCCAGTTGTTAAACCAGCCTCGTTGATGCTGTGGTTACTGAGGATTAGCTCCTGAGAAGGATTGGGCCCCAGCAAATCTTATTGATCTCAGTGTGAATGCTTGGTATGTGATATCTCTCCGGTCAGGACCTAAGATCTGATCTATACACTGTGGTACTAATCTTGCTATTCCCCCAAAGTAGCAAAGTGCTTAGCACAATGGAGCCATGCTCCCTGTTAGGGAGTTACTGTAATGCAAACCAATATATATAAATACTACCAGTCAGTGATGTGCAAGAGGAAAGGCAGGAACTGGGGCCTAGGTAGAGGTGTGTACTTCCTGTGCAACATGGAGAACAGCTCTGCAGGGGCTTAGCTCTGGGCAGTCCTGCTCTTTATGGTGGGGAGAGATAGGGCATAGCAAAGGAAAGGGCAGAGGGTGTGAGAGGTGGATCTGCTGCTAGGTTGGTCCTGTAATCACAGCCTCCTGCATAGTTTGGGGAATGTTAACCCTTTAAGTGTCGTTCTTATTTCTTTCTTAATCTTTTTAAAAGACCAAAATAATGGGAGCCTCCATCATTTCTGTTGGGAGACTCTTGCATACCCGAATGCACATCACTTTCAAGACGTTTTTCATTTTTCCTTTCTACATTTCATCTCATCACCCCTGGTTAGATCCTCAAGTACCACTTTCCCATACATTCTTTGTATCTCTAAGATGCCCATCACCTTGATTTCTAAGCAACATGTCTTGTACTACCTCAGTAATGCTTCTGCATCCTTGACTGTTTACACCTTTTACATTATTTGTAGACTCTTATTATGTCCTTCCTCAGCCCATATCACCCCCTTGCTAAGGTCTATAGACAAGCTCTGTAAGGTAACCATCCTGCAGACACTTGAGTTAGGTGTGTGGTGCAGGTAAGGAGTCTGTCGCAGGGTGGTCCCCTGCTCCTGCCCTGAAGGGCTTAAAACAGCCAGGGAGCAGGGCTGGGGCAAAGGAAAAGCTACCAGGCTGATTGGGGAAGCAGCCGCAGCTGGGCCATGCCCCAATCAGGCCACAGCTGGCCTGTATAAAAAGGCTGGGAGCCAGGAGCTCAGCAGTCCCTCTCTCTGCTTTCAGAGGGAGAAGGGCTTGGTTGCATGAGCTAGACATAGGGTACCTGTAGTGGAGCAGGGCTGGGGAAAGGCTGAGGAGCTGGGGAGCTCCAGCCTGGATAGCCCCAGGCTGTGGCCTAGTAGGAGGCTAAGGGGTACTGGGGGTTGCAGAGGGCAGCCCAGGGCTAGGCCAAGGCAGCAGGTCCAAACCCAACCTTGCCTGTGATGAGTGGTCTATATTGCAGTCTGCCCCAGGGAATGGGGGCTAGTGGGAGACTGGCAGTGGCCTTATTCTGAGGTGAGGTAGGGATAGTGGGTGGGGGTTCCCCAGGGAGGGGAAACCCTAATACTGAGGGGTGTACTGCCAGGGGGCAGCACCCCAAATAAAAGGGCACCGGGGTCCGGGAGGGACATGGGGGCCAGAGGACAGGCGGATCACCCGCCTGCAGAGGGTGCTCTGGAGGCTGGATTGAGCTAATTCCCAGAAGTCACCAGCAGGAGGCGCCGCAGGGGTGAGTCCGCTCCTCTACAGAGTCCCATTAACTTAGAACTTACCAGATGCAAGATCAGAACTTTAACCTTTCACCATAATTCAATTGTTCAGCTTCCTGACTTTTTTTGCTTCTTCTCCTATTTCTTCTTCCCATTTTTCAGTAACTCCCTCCGAATGGCCCTGGTGCAATATGCATACCACTAAATAAGGGCAAGACAAACAGTTCTTCTTTTAGCCAAATAAGTCTAGCGTTGGCATTCAGGATTCCGGACATATTGGCAGACACACACATGGTTGGTTTGCAGTCTTTATTTTGTGACATTCAAAGTATTTCCCAGTTTTTATTTTACATTTCTACTAAAAAAGAACAGGTTAGACAAACACCAGTCAGGGATGGTCTAGAGATAACACTTAGTCCTGTCTAAGTGCAGGGGACTGGACTAGATGACCTATTGAGCTCCCTTCCCCTCCTATCATTCTGTGGCTATGGTTACTAAAAGCCCAACATAAACAAACATGCAACTAGGGATGCTTTCATCAGTTCAGCCATACCACTGGTTTTGGTTGCTTGACTCCCAGACAGGGAAAGCTCATGTCTAAGTGTCTGAGGTCTGCTAGAATTTAATATTTCTCTGCACAGTTAACAGATTAATTCAATCCAGCATCAGGTTCATATTCTTTCAGTTCAACTAAGAGGAGCAAAAGTGCACCATCTACTGTTGATAGTTTATACCACATCTACAGTATTTGCACTGGGACAATTCGGTGTGTACGTTATGCAGCCAATTTTCAGGATTTTCGTGCAATCTATTTGGGGAAAGGGTGGTGCCCTTTTATGTGGTTCATTTATCTTCAGGATAAAAATATGATAATATCTCAGAAGTATATATCACAGCTTTTAAATGTTGCTGGGTCCAAATGGCAATATGCTTCTTCCATAGAGCTAAGAATGAGCTAAACAGAAGAAATTAAAACATGTGGGGAAAGAAGGTATGTAAAGATAAGGCACATTTTCTCCATGCTATAAAAGACCGTCATCTCTAAGGAATGTAACGCATGGTTTGGAATCAGAAAATCCCAAATCCTAGCTCTGGCTCTTATTATATTGCCAGTCACCTCACCTCTCCCTCAATTACTCCATGTGTAAAATGGGAATAATAATGCTTACCTACCTACTTGCTTCACAGGGGTGTTGTATGGATTGATGAATTAGTATTTGCACAACACTTTGAAAATATAAAGTGCTATAGCAGTGCTAAGTATTACTGTTAAGGGTGGTCAAGGGGAAAGGGCATTGACTTGACTGGGACTTAAGAGCCCTGGATTCAATTTCTGGCTCAGCTACAGACTTCCGATGTGACCTCGGGCACGTCACTTAACCTTTCTTTGACTCAGTTTCCTGTTGTAAAATGTTCCCTACTCATGGAAGTGCTGTCACTCATGGAAGTGCTGTGTTAGTGATTGTGAGAGGCTGAGATACTGTGGTGATTACGGTTATGTAAGTACCTAGAGTGAGAGAGACTACACCTCTACCCCAATATAATGCTGTCCTCGCGAGCCAAAAAGTCTTACCGCGTTATAGGTGAAACCATGTTATGTTGAACTTGCTTTGATCTGCCGGAGCGTGCAGCCCCCTCCCCTGCATTATATCCGAATTCGTGTTATATCAGGTCGCGTTATATCGGGGTAGCAGTGTATATTAGTTTTACTCAACAACTCGCTGTACTTGATTAAACTTATGGATACAAATGTTTAATAACAATAAGGCTTTGAATTAAATACACAATAAGATAAAAATTCATATTCAAGGCTTACTTGCCCTTCTCCTCCACAAAAGCACATACTATCTGGTTTTCAAAAGTGTTCGGCACCAACAGAGCCCGTTGAAGACAGTCAATAATTTGCTCAATGCATCTGAAAATCAGGCCACTTATTTTTCTCCCCTTGTCAGTAATGCAACACTGGACCATGATGACAATGGAATTCAATGTAAATACACAACAGTGCAGGGATGGGGGGTGCTGAATGTGTATGGAAAAATTGTAAATCGTGTGGGATCATATAATTAAAAATGGTATTATGATGCACCTGCACAAGGCCATTGTTTTGGTTGCACATGCAGCTCTTTTGGTGACATTTCCTGCCTTTTGCAATGCTAGTGTTCGCTTCCCTTCATTGCATAAAGTCAGTGGCCATCTGTTATTCAGGTTGCCTAATTATGGATTTAACTGGCTAACTTTAGACACCTAAATTTGAAATTGTGGGCCAAAGACTTTTTTTCTGTGATTCATTTTCTTCTTTCAAAGGCACATATTTCCATAAGTTTGTCAATATCCTTAGACTATACTTTTTTCTGACTAGCAGCGCAGACTTCCTTCAGTGCAGTTTAGGGGATGATGCAGTTAACTGTGTGATGTGAACTTAACTGCACACTAAAATAGATTATATATACCAGCAAGCTGCCACTGTCATTCTCTGCTATATACATATGCCTTAATTATCAAAAGTGGCCACTGATTTTGGGTGCCTCAGTTTTTGGATGCTGAAACTGAGACTCCTAGAACAAAACTGCCATTGACTGCAGTGGGAGTTTACACTGCATAAGAATTGAGTAAGGACTCTGGGATCTGGATTTGATCCAACTACATTAACAATTGTGTGCCTTTTGAATAATGAATTCCTAACATAGAACACGGATTGCTGTTAATATTCACATCATCTGTCCCAATGGTTCCTTGGAGCTGTTATGGTGTGCACTAGTATTGTGGATAAATGGTAATGAGTGTAACTGTCCATTCTAGATCTTCAGTAATGAATGTGTAATAAGAATCCACATCTCTGCATGTGCTTCTTAAAATTTGGTAAATGCTCATTTCAGCTTTTTCTTTGTCATTTTAAATAATCAAGAATCATACAAATGTAAGGCTGGAAGGGACCCTGAGAAGTCATCTAGTCCAGCCCCCTGCACTGAGACAGGACCACGTAAACCTAGACCACCCCGACAGGTGTCTGTCAAACTTGTTCTTAAAAACCTCCCATGATGGGGATGCCACAACCTCCCCTGGAAACCTATTTAACTACCCTTATAGTTAGAAAGTTTTCCCTAATGGCTAACCTAAATCTCCCATGCTGCAGATTAAGCCCATTACTTCTTGTTCTACCTTCAGTAGACATGGAAAACAATTTACTACCCTCCTCTTTAGAAGAGCCCTTAACATATTTGAAGACTGTTATCAGGTCCTCCCTCAGTCTTCTTTTCTCAAGACTAAACATGCCGAGTTCTTTTAACTTTTCCTCATAGGTCAGGTTTTCTAACCCTTTTATCATTTTTGGTGCTCTCCTCTGGACTCTCTCCACTTTGTCTATGTATTTCCTAAAGAGTGGTGCTCACAATTGGATGCAGAACTACAACTGAGGCCTCACCAGTGCTGAGTAGAGTGGGACAGTTACCTCCTGTGTCTTACATATAACACTCCTATTCATACACTCCAGAATTATATTAACCTTTTTCGCAGCTGCATCAAGTTGTTGACTTATATTCAATTTCTGAGCTGATATAACCAGGGATTTGGAGCAATCAAATTTTTGAATTGTTCCGCTCCAGCTCTGGGCATAAAACCTACTGGTTCGTACTCCAGCTCCGGGCTCTGCTCCAAAGCCCTGGCTATAACCCCCAGATTCTTTTCAACAGTACTACCACCTAGCCAGTTGTTTTCCATTTGTGCATTGATTTTTCCTTGCTACGTGAAGTACTTTGCATTGTTGAATTCAGACAAATTCTCCAATTTGTCAAGGTCATTTGGAATTCTATTCCTGTCCTCCCAAGTGCTTGCTACCCTCCCAGCTAGGTGCAATCTGCAAATTTTATAAGCATATTCTGTTCTCTATTGTCCCAGACATTAATGAAAATATTAAATAGTACTGGGCTCAGGACTGACCTCCTCTGCAGGACCCCACTAGATATGCCCTCCCAGTTACAGCAAATCACTGATAATTCTTCTTTGAGTAGGTTTTTCAACCAGTGGTGCACCCATTTTATAGTAATTTTATCTAGACTACATTGCTCTCATTTGCTTAAATTGCTCATGTGGGACTGTCTGTGTCAAAAGCCTTATTAAAATCAAGATATACCACAGTTACTGCTTCCTCTTATTCACCCGGCCAGTAGCCCTGTCAAAGAAGGAAATTAGGTTGGTTTGGCATGATTTGTTCTTGACAGATCCATGCTGGATATTTCTTATAACCCTATTATCCTCCAGGTGCTTACAAGTTGATAGTTTATTAATTTGTTGCAGTATCTTTCCAAGTATCAAATCTAGGCTGACTGGTGTATAATTCCCCACATCCTCTGTTCCCCTTTTTAAAGATGTGTACTATGTTTTCCCTTCCTCAGTCTTCTTGGACTTCACCCGTCTTCCATGAGTTCTCAAAGATAATTGCTAACAGTTCCGAGATTGCTTCAGCTAGTTCCTTAAATTCCCTAGGATGAATTTGACCAGGCCCTGCTGACTTATCTAAATATTCTTTAACCTGTTCCTTACAATTTTATAATAGTAATTTTGTAATGTTTGTAATAATAAGGCCTAGTTAATTTACCTTTATAGAATACTAGTCTAAAAAGTGAAAAGTCAAATTTGGTAGCAAAGGAACATTTTCTAACTTAAGTGTCCAATATTGGGCACCCACATCCGTATTTAAGTCCCTTAATAACTTGCATGATTTTGGACATGCAGGGTTCATAGTCCCATTTTAGTTATACTCATATTCCCTCTTTTTTCCTCTGAACTGTGCCTAGGAACTAAATCACATAGGACTGGATTTTCAGCAGTGATGAGTAACCACAGATCAAATACCACTGACTTAAATTACAAAAAAAAGCACACAAAACCCTACATTAAAAGAACATTAAGGTTCCATGGGTGAGCACTCAAAAGTGAGGAAATGTCACAAATAAGGTTGCATGTGCCTCTTTGACTCTGTCCCTTTGTGCACGTGCATTGCAGTGTAGTCTTCAGTTTGGGATCCGAATCTGGAGCATATTCAACACTACATTCTGACTGTGCTGTTCTAGTGATGCAAAGTTGCCTAAACCCAGTTTAACTGGCATTAATTGAAGACAAGCCAGTAAGCTAATTTATAACAGCCTTTTGTCACCAAAGTATATCAGTGAATCTAGGCTCATGATTTTGGTCACAGATTAAGGGCCATATTCTGTCTTTGGGTCCTCACAAGACTTTGACATGCATAGCAGGAGGGCAGAATTTCAATCTGAATGTTTCAATCGAGAACATTGTAGCCATAGAGGCATTCTGCTTCTGCTAGAAATAATGCATGATCTGGTAGTACTTCCTTTTAATTAGCATTTTGAATCATCATAGACTTGATTGTGATCTCACGGTGGTATAAATGAGAAGTTATACTAATGAAGTCATTGCAGTGACACAAATTTGTAATAGTGATGGTGACTGAGCAATGGGAGTGGTGGATTCTTGATCTTTTGATGTCTTCAAATCAAGACGGGATTCCTTTCTGGAAAATGTGCTTTGATCAAACACAAGTTATTGCACTCAATACAGGGATAAATGGGTGACATTTTATGGCCACTGATATACAAGAGGTCAGATTAAATGAACTAATGGTCCTTTCTGTCCTTAAAATATATGATACTATTGTAATTCTGTGGCATGTGAGATTAGAATCCAGCTCTGTGTGCCTTTTAGACACGATTCACAATTTATCTGGCATGTGGTGACTCACTTTTCATTCTTAATAGGAAAACTGTTGGCGTTTTCTGTTGTGGACCAAATGAAATCTCCAAGGTACTCCACAAATTGAGCAACAGCAGCAACTCCTATGGGACAAGGTTCGAATACAATAAAGAATCCTTCAGCTGAAAGTCTTGGGACTAACAGGACTCTATGGAAGAAAGAAGTGCAATTATTTTTTGTAAGACTTAAGAGTCAGAGCTTTGTGCTAAGCAGATACAATGTACCAAAGAGTAGCAGGTTTTCTTATTTATGATTATTTAAAATTCTGAAATAAGGAGGACACAGCAAAGTACCAAGTCACATCAAGTGTTTATGCTCAAAGCCAAAAGGGCTCAGAGAAGATTTGTCATGATGGTGGAGATGATTCATTTATCAGGGTGTAAATTAATTTAAAAAACGGAAACAAACAGTTGCTTTTATGGCTGATTCAAGAACAATCCATGGAACATCTGAAATGTTTCCAGTTCAGCTTGCTAACCTCAGTCCTCTGAAATTGGGATTGGTTAAATGAACACCAGATTGATCAGAATTAAAAGTGCTCTGCAAGACCGACGGTGCTCTTTACTGGCACACAAATGAAACGGCTTTGAAAGGGAGAAACTCCAGGCAAAAATATTAGATTTAAATATTACAGATTGGGATTCTGTATGTAAAATATGAAAGTGTATTCTCCCTAGCCTGCCTCCATACTGAATAGCTGTCTGGTAGGGATATATATGGAGGGCTCACCCCAGACTATGGGAAAGTGAGTGCAACCTTATGAAATCTCTGGGCCAAATCCTATGGTGATGTAAATGACAGGTGGGTGTAAACTGGCCCATAGGGGTAACTAGTTTGATACTGAGTGTGTTCGCAAAAAGCATATGATTTATGCACTTGGAGTTGGATCAGGAAAAACAACTAGCAGGAGAAAGCAAGATAGGGTATTTCTGCTGTACCCCCAAGTCACCATGAAAGTCACACTCACTTTGCGCACGCACACACCGGTGAATGAGTTCAAGCTGGACTTTTTAGGTGCCTCTGCTGATGAGTTTACAACTCACGTACTCCAGAGTGACTCAAATTGATTTCAGCCTCTCAACTGACTTCAGTGGATTGATGCTGATTTACACTGATATAACTGAGAGGAGAATTGGGGCAGATGTGTCATTTGCATCACCATTTATAATATGGTAGGAATTAGCCTTAATTGCTGTGACCCTTTGCTTTGTGTGTGCTGATGGAAGCCTTGCCCAGTCTACAGAATGTTGTTGTTGTTCTTTCTTTTCCCAGAGCTTCAGAACATGAGCTCTCTCTCCTACCATCCATTTCCCAATCTGTACATAATAAGCGGGAGAAATCAGAACCCACTGATTCTGAGGAGCAACATTTCCCCTATCCCATTGCCTTGGCCTCCTTTATTTCTTCTTTAATCCCCCAGTTCTGTTTCCTCATGGTCAAGTTCTGCTCTAAGGATAATAGGGGACTAAAGACGTACACAATCGGGATCAGTATAGTTCCATTGATTTTAATAGAATGTCATTGATTTTGAGCGGATCTGGCCCTTAATCTTCCCCCAGACCTCAGGAGCATCACCTCTAGAATGCTTGTGGCATACGCTGAAACAGGAGGGTCTCAGCCCCACTCAGAACTGTGGCTCTCCCATATGTTAGCACTTTGCACTTTGATTTAGTTTATGGCTTTCAACTCACCCTTTTTTTAATCACCTGGACTTTTTAATTTTCAGCATACAGACACGGCCCTGCATTGGTGTCTGTTAATGTCAGTGTCTGCATTAAGAGGGGTGCAGTCTTTCAATAGCTCATATATTGGCTTGTCACATGTGTGACAATGAAAATGAGGTTGGTCTCTGCTTTTGCAGCTGCTGCTCAGGAGACACCATGACTGGAATAGTAGGACAGAAGGGCCTTGGCAGAGAGGTGTGGGGAAAATGGCCTAGCACTTGTCTATGCCAAAGATAGACAAATGCCACTAGCCCCTGACTTTACTCAGTTTGGAGTAAATGGAAGGGGCAAAGTGGTTGTTTTCAGATAGGCTCCTTTGCAAATCTTAGCCAAAAGGAGTTAGGGGCCCAAATCCCTTTGAAGTTCAGTCACTGCCTAAATCCCACCCACTGATTTTTGGGCCTAATTCACTAAATGATTTGTAGATTAATAGAGTTTTAAGGCCAGAAGGGACCATTATGGTCAGCTAGTCAGACCTTCTGTAGATAGTTACTGCAATGTAAAACTGGAGAATCAGACCCTTTATTGCCATCTGTATTAGCTTAATATTAAACAGAATATAATGCTGCCAGCCACCTGTGTAGCGATGAGATATTGCCATGCACAGAGGGAGGGGTTGTGGTTAGTTTATGACAAGCAATATCATAACTGTATCACCTCATCTCAAAAAAGATATATTGAAATTGGAAAAGGTTCAGAAAAGGGCAACTAAAAAGATTAGGGGTATGAAACAGCTTCTATATGAGGAAAGATTAATAAATTTGGGACTTTTCAGCTTAAAAAAGACGAGTAAGGGGGGAGATGATTGAGGTCTATAAAATCATGACTGGTGTGGAGAAAATAAATAATAAAGTGTTATTTACTCCTTTTCATAACACAAGAACTAGGGGTCACCAAATGAAATTAATAGACAGCAAATTTAAAGCAAACAAAGGGAAGTATTTCTTCACACAGTGCACAGTCAGCCTGTGGAACTCTTTGCCAGAGGTTGTTGTGACGACCAAGGGTTCAAAAAAGAACTAGATAAATTCATGGAGGACAGGTCCATCAGTGGCTGTTAGCCGGGATGGGCAGGAATTGTGTCCCTAGCCTCTGTTTGACAGAAGTTGGGGAATGGGTGACAGAGGATGGATCACTTGATGATTACCTATTCTGTTAATTTCCTCTGGGGCACCTGATATTGGCCACTGTCGGAAGACAGGATACTGGGGTAGATAGACCATTGGTCTGACTCCGTATGGCTGTTCTTATGTTCTTATTTGTTAACCACAAGTGCAGATATAATGGTTATTATTCTGTTGCTTTAGGTTCTCTAGCAACTACCTACAAAAATGTTTATGGTTGCTTGCTTTCTCTCTGGCATATAGCTGTTCCATTAACATACAAAGAGCAAACACTTTTCTAGATTGTATAGTTTGGCACAGCTCAAATATAAGTGATGCCTTCTAATTCAAAGAATAATAAGCTATCCTCTTAATCCAAATGATAGGAGCTGGTACTGTCCTTATGAAATTTTGAAAACTAGTGTATCGCTTGGGAGGGTTGTCAGAACTGGGGATAAATAGTTAGAACCTTTGGGTTCGACTTCTATCTAAGGCATTGGCTTTTCTGATCTTGGGGGGCATCATTTTGCCTTCCTGTATCTGTTTGCCCAGCTATAAAATGGGGTTAATACCATCTACCTCAGACGGGTTTTGTGAGGCTTACTTGATGTTTTTGAAGCACTTTGGCAGTGCTATAACAAAAGGTGCTTTTGTCTTTATTTGCATTATTATTTTTTGTGGTGCTCTGAATCCTGGATCTTTCAGCATTGTTCAGGTCTGAGTACTCTCTCCACGTTGTGGTGTGAATTGAAAAAGAGGCTCAAAGCCTGAATGTCTTTGCTTTCCTTGAGGCATGCTTTTTACAGCAGCAAAAAGATTAAGGGGTGGGGATTGTGACACTGAAATCTTGCCTTGTTGACTTCAGTAGCAGAAAATGTTATTGACAAATAGACCTTTCTGGAGGCTGCACTACGCACTGTGTTTTTGAGTGTACAGATTGGCAAAAAACAGTGCAGGGCCTTTCTACTACACAGCGTTTTCACCCCTAGGCCAAGAAGATATATAAAAAAATAATAATAAATGCCAGGAAAGTAAGTAAATGCTGGCAGTGCTTAATTCCACGTTTACAGATCAACCGGATTTACATAACTGAATGTCTCTTCGTGCTTTGAAACATGCCATATAAGCCAGGCTGTCAGGAGCTCCCTACTGCTAGGGAGAATTCCTCTGGGTATTGTGCCATTTCTTGCTTGATACTTCACAAAGCTGCAGCCCTACCAACATTTTCACAGCAGGTGCCTTTCTCTGTCTGCCGTGTGTGTCACCAACCTTTCAGTGCTTTTATTTTTCTGCATTTAAAATGGCATGAACTCCTCTCATCCCCTGATTGAAGCCACCGCCCCTGTCTTGTGTGACATTCTACCCCCCTCTCGCAACCCCTGAGGAGCTGGGCTTGGTGCAGAGACTAGTGCCGCATTTACATTGCGGGGTGCTGACTCTCTCAAGCAGTCACAGTAAAGTCACTGGGGCTACTCATGTGAGTAAGTGCTCCCCATTGTGACTAAGGGTTGCCTAATTGAGCCTGAATGGGGACAACTGGGGACCGGGTAGGGTTGGCTTAAGGTTGATATCCATCCCCACCATTTGCAGGCACATTCCTGAGTTGCACTGCCACTCCAGGACCATGATTTCAGTCCATGTGCTGGTAGTAAGTGCTGCTTCTCCTACAGGGGAATTAGGGTCACGGGATCTGGATAGTCAATGTCCTATGGCCCCTTTCTTGCCTTGTCCATAAATCTCCCTTCGCAGCAGCCTATTTGGGGCCGGGTGGAGACCCCTTCCATAGCACACAGGGTGTGCAGTCACACATGCAGTCTCCACCACAATCCCACTACATAAGTTTTGTAGAGATTCTTGCGTGTGGGCTGTCTGCAGCGTGGCTGAGTTTCAGCCCTCATGCTCAGTGGGATAAACATCAGGGAGGGAGAAACACTAAAGGTCAACATTGGCATAAGAACAAAGGGCTGTCAACTCGCTGTGAGTACATTCAGGCTGGAAATTAGAAGAAGACTTCTAACCAGCAGAGGAATGAGGTTCTGGAATGGCCTCCCAATAGGAGGAGTTGGGGCAAGAAACCTAACTGGCTTTAAGATGGAAGTTGCTAAATGGGATTATAGGATGGGGTTTCCTGCAGTAGCAGGGGACTGGACTGGATGACCCAGGAGATCCCTTCCAGTCCTGTGTTGTTATGTTGATTTTCATGTCTCATGTTAGTAGATATGCCATACCAGGGACCAGTTCTGATCTCATGCTGACATAACCCATACCTCTAGATTCACATCCATCGCAAACAAGATCCGAATTCATCCCAGGGCTTTAAATCCTACTGGCATGTGAACGGGAGGAGAATGGCTGACGAGGAGTTGGCTGGGAAGGTATAAATAGTGAGGATGACAGGCTTGGGAGGCTGTAATTTTAGACCCGCTTTAAAAAAAAATAAATCGTGGGAGTAATGGTTTAGCAAGAGGTTTGTTCTCCGAGCTGCAGCCCAAGAGAAAACCCTCCATTCAGAGAGAGCCAGCCCACCAGGTTATGGTTTTAAACAGTAAGACATTGCTTGAAGAAGCCTGCAGGAGGCTAACAAGTTGCTGCTAGTAGCAGCCACGGAGCAAGAAGACAGTTATTAAAAAGCAAGGTTTACTTGTAACAAAATAACTGGTAGGAAGATTAATTTCTACTTCAGCTGAGCAGTTATTTCATATGCATGTCAGCATGATTTAAGAAAAAGCTGGATCTGCTCCTCTGTAGATTATACATCCCATTTTACTACCATTTTTTTCACAAAGGCAATATTTTTAAAAGAGTTCAACACTAAAGTTTGGAAGCTAATAGAAATATCTCAGGCTTGCAAGCTGAACTGACCTTTACTGTAATGGAGGTGCATCTTGCAGGGGCATGTATATTCCAACTGGAGAATTTCCATCCTGCTCTGAATTTTAATATCAAGCATGAATCTCCTCATCTGCTGGTGGAAATCAAGAGTAATAACATGCATTGAGGCTACTGTGAAGTTGCACTGGTGTAAGAGCATGTCACTAAGATGAGACTCTTTGGTCCCCAAGATGAGCCTGATTTGTCAAGGAGTTGAGCTGAGCAAATCCTGAAGGTTTTAAGAATTCTCCAGTTAAGCTGAGGGTGGTCAGTGCCGTGAGCTGGTCAGAGTCGGGCCCTCTGACACCTTTCACTGGCTCAACGTGTGCAATGCATTGTCATACCCAAAGGTTTCAATCAACGAATGCCATTTCTTCAAGTGCTTATATTAATGTATGTTGATTAATAATTAATCACTACTGTATTAATCACATTACCTATCTTGTAGCACTGAGGGGAGCAGTTACAGTAGCACAAAAATCCATCACATAATGTGCCAAGTACATTATGGGCCCACTTCTGAACATCCTCAGGGCTGGCTTAGACTTTCTGGGGCCTGGGGCCAAAGCCCAAGGGCGTCAGCCCTGGACAGCAGGGCTTCGATTACAGGCCCCCTGCCTGGGCGGCTCCCTTGAGCTTTGACCCCTGGGGCTCAGGTGGGCTTAGGTTTCCATCCCCCCTCCTAGGGTCTTGTAGTAATTTTTGTTGTCAGAAGGGGGTCTCGGTACAATGAAGTTTGAGAACCCCTGCTCTAGATACATACCACTATAATGGGGGAAGTGCGGAAAGCAACAAATCAAATGACAGCCTGGCTTTTAGCGGAGACCTTGAAAGTCTGAGCACAAATCACCCACACACAACCTAAGTGCATTCCTCTATGCCTCCTGTCAAAATCTTCCTGTCCCCCAACCCGAGACGTCCACCTTTTGCCTGGTGATTCGTAATATTCTTACCCGGAGGGGAAGGGGGAAGCCATGTGAAGATCCTGAAACTGCAGGTTAATGGTGTCATAATATATTAATCAAATGATTCTTCAAGGAAAAAGCTCTGTAGCTAGAGAGGAGGGAGAAGGATATTTTCCTCAGATGGGGTAGATAGGAAATATTTAGAGCAGCCATGATGGGGAAGGGAAATTTTCCCTTGTTTACCAGACCCCATAGGAATCATTCCCATTGTCAAATAAGGTGCAGATATATTATCCCAAGGATTGTGAACTAATGCTTGCAAAGAAAACCCTTCCTATGCAAAAATCAGAGTGAAAATACCAGCACTCAGAGGACATCTGGAATAATTTGGTAAATGCCTTAGAAGTATGTAGTGCATTTGAAATACAAATACCACTGGCTATTTCTAATTTACCATTTTTAAAAGGCCGTATCAGCGTCTGTCTTTGCTGCATTTTATTTTTCGGCGTGCTCTGTCTTTTTAACTCCTTCACTGCCACTCTGTTTGCAAACACAGTCCTTCAGCCCAAGTGGCACTGACAGTTTGATAAATAAATCTTGGGTTCGTTGCTGTTGACCCTAGGTAAGGACAAACTTGAAAATGAGAAGCAGGGTTACATAAATGTCTACTGTACATAGCAACACTGAGGGGAGAAAAGCTGCTGCCTTACTTCTGGTGCACCAGTAGCACATTAAAATTCTGTCATTGCAAGGTCACAGTGTTAGGCTGATATTCCTCCACCCCTGGGGAAGAGTGAGAACCTTCTTTTCACGCTGTAGTAATGTAGCCAAGAATCTATTCATCTATATCAGAGCATTTATTTCAGTTTTGAAATACCGCATCATTTCTTTCAGTGATGAAGCATCCTCTCCTGGTTTGGAGTAGAGTTGTTGGCATGTTAGAAATGTAACACTTGCTTTGAACAGAATAAATAAAGCATCCCAGCATTGCCTTCTCCCATTAATAATCCCAGAGCAAGGCAAAAGACCAGATAGCACATGTAGTGAGCGGAATGTGTCCTGAGTTGCACTCAATGCAGTGTGATTAGGAATGCTGCACAGCATTCTCTGTAAACTCCCAGGAAGAGGCAAGCTATAGACAGAGGAAAACAGCAGTTTGGAAGAGGAATACAGAACCTCTGTGAGTAAAGCTGGTCCGGAATTTTTCAAAAAAGTTTTTCTTTGGCAAATGTTGATTTCTCAAAACTAAAACTGTGAGCAGAAGTGTTTGGGTTTTGACAACAATTTCCTCAGGACCAGGCTGGAAATTCACATAAGGTGGAGAGAGAGAGACCACCCCAGAATAGCCAATAGCCCATTGGTTAGGCACTACCTCTGCCCTGTAGCAACACAGGGTTCCATTATTTCTCCCCCTCCTAGAGTACATTTTATTCAAACTGACCTGTGGAAACACCATCTCATCTCCAAGTTTACATACATTCCCAGCCGAAACACTGGTTAAAAAAGTAGGCATTTCCAAAGGAGTGGAAGGAGCCTATAGTGGGATTATCAAAAGCACCTAGGCACCTAACTGCCATTAAAAGCCAGTAGGAGTTGGATGCTTAATTCCCTCTAGTCTTCTTTGAAAATCCCGGGCTTCAGCGCCGTGGTTCTCAACCCATTTATCATTGTGGACCGCATATGCAGTATTACATGGTGCCGCATCCACACAATATGTGTACTACCTGTATGGCCTGAGGATGTCACTGCTGTGTGCTGATTGGGCCGCAGGTTGAGAATGTGGTTTAGGATGTGTTTCAGTGTCCCACGAACAACTGAAAATATGCATCTTTAACAACAGCTAAAAAGGTCGGAAATTTCTCACTATCACTCCCACCGAGCAGGGACTCCCCCACTCTCTGCTTCCATTAGTGCAGGGAAATTTCACTTCCCAGGATGTGGAGATGCTCAGCTTCAACCAGACCCGTGCCTCCACCTAGCTCTGTCCCCTCCCAGGCCTGCCCCTTCTTTATATGCCCGATCCCGGGCACATCGAAATCCGTGGGGGTTTTCCCATTCACTTGAGTAGGCATTGGCTTGGTCCCTGTGTACAGGTCCCTGAAGAGCGCCTTCTGTGTTGCTCAGTGAAAGGAGGGAGAGTACCAGAGGTAGCTGTGCAGAGAGGAGGAGATCCATGGGCACAGGCTATCTGTGTGTGCCAGCTTAGGGGAGGGATCCAATCCTGTTAAGCCCTCTCCCTTCCTTGATCAGCGGCAAAATTCAGCATGATTTCAGGGCTGTGCTTTCACCCCAGATGTCAGGCCCTGCACGACACTTGGTATTGAATGACAAGCTTGCTTAGTTCCATTACGCACCCTGTTTCCACATAGCTCCTGTTTATCTGCTAATTCTTCCCTCCTTTTACTGTTTAAACATTTCCTCTGTCTTCACTTCAGGAAACCTGGGGACACGTCATCTACAAAGAGGAAAAAAAGAGGGTTGTGCTGTCAAAGAGCCCTACTCCCAGCCTGTATGCTCTGCTCTGTGTCCTTGAGAAGAAGCACTCAGGCTGTGTTGACGCTCTAGAAAAAGGCAGTGTTTTCACTGAGGCACCTGCTTCAGCCAGGAGGCTCTTCCAGGCAAATGGATGAATGCGTAGATGGAACTCTGGGATCAATTACTTTTTTCTTTGGCAAGAAACACTGGTCTCTCTGGGCCAGTTTGTGAGACCCTTAATCTCACTGCGTTGTACAAGCAGCCTCATTGGTTTTAATGGCCTCGATTCATGGTGTAAAGTACTATTCGAAGTGAGCAAAGTGGTCACAATCTGGCCTTCTAACAATGAAAAGCTTCCTTTTAAAATGAAGGAACTGTCAGATATCCTCTAACGGTTTCTGCAGGTGGTGTGGGATTAGAATGGGACCCACCTGAAAAGAAGGACGAGAGGGGACCTGATTCTTCCCTATTTTACAGCACTGTAACTGTATTGTTTGGGACAGAGGTACTCCTGATTTACAAGTGATGGGAGAATCAGTGTAAGTTCTGCTGCCCAGCATGGAACGAGGAGAGTATCACACATTGTTATCGACACCAAAGCAATGTAAGGGCCTGTGTTTCCTCTGGAGAAGGAGCCTTCTGTAGCCAGTGCTGCTGCTTACTTGTGCTGCTCTAAGGACAAAAATAATGCATCAGAATGATTAAGGGGGATGGGTCCCAGGCAAACCTATCACTACAACTAATGCTGAGATAAGGGGGGTGGATTTGGCTCATCTTCCTCTATGCAATTATTCTCCCATTACATGAATAATGCACACCGTTGAAAAACAAGGGCTACATGATGAGACTTCCAAGGAACACACATGAGGTAGGAGGTATCAGAAGCATGGATGAATGCCTGTCTTTCCTGTATATTTTTATCTTGATTGTTACTCTAAGGGCTGAATTCTCTTGTTGTTTGGGGAGGGAGGGATTGTTTTGTTTTGTTTTTTTGTACTCTCTTATTCCTAGGTCAGCTGTAGGATTCTCTTTCCATGTCAGCTCTTTCTAAATTGTTTGGTGCTCATGGGAGGCAATGTAGATTATTAGTGTGGTTAGAGAAGGAAACAGTGAGTCAGGAATCTGGGGGTCTGTTGCCTGTTCTGCCACATGTGACATTAGTCAAACTGCACAACCTAGGATTTGGGCAGGAGTTTAAGGGATTCAGGAATTTCAATGAGAATTTAACACAACCAGACTCCTTGTTGTAATTGCATTAGGTTCCACTTTTAAAATCACAGGCTAAATATCTCAGTCCCTGAGTCTGCGCAGCTGTAAAATGGGGGTAGTAATATATACTTCATAGGGCTGTTGTGACAATCAGTTCTTTTAAAGCACTTTAAGTTCCTCAGATGAAAAGTGCTATGGATTTGCCAAGTATTGTTATGTCTATTGTTGTATCACAGGGCTGATATCTTTCCACTGAATCTTTCCACATTACTAATGTATATAGATAAATTGCAAGATTCTTTTGCAAGAATGCCTCTTTTCTAAAATTACTGAATTACCATTTTATCTCGATGGCCATCCTGACAAGCAAACCATTCATCTGGGTTCTTTTGCTGGTCACATGTCATTGAGCAACATTGTGTTCCATTATATTACCAGGAGGTACTAACTTGGGTTCACTCTTGTATTGTATTTGACAAAGCACTGTACATTTACTCGTAATTACTGCACTGTATTCTCAAGATATTCACTTTACCGAAAACATCATGACTTTGGAATAAATAAAACATTCCACCACTATCAAAACATGGTAGAGCAGCTGAGTTGAGAACTGTTTTTAATTCATGACATACTGCTTTAATTAACATAGAAGCACTGTGTATATATATTTGTTAGTACTAGAAGTAAACTTTGAGCATTTTGCGTGACATATTTTGGAAACACACTTATTTCATTTGCCACCTATTGGGATCTCAAACAAATACACAAACAGTGGAAACAGGAAACTGGGCCAAAAATGTTCCTGTTGTAACACCAATAATGAGATCAAATCAAACACAGGATGGATTTGTCCCATTTGAACATATGAACACCATTTCACGAACACTAGCTTCAGAAACAATGCCAGTCATCTAAGCTCTGAATATCTCTTTTAGAATGTAAGGATAGAAGAAAACTATAGGCAGGGTTGACATAGGCTGATTCTGCACCTACTGAAATCAATGGCAAATCTTCTGCTGATTCCAAGTGTGACCTTAAAAAAGCTTCTTCTGATATTAGCAATAGTAAGGATTTCAGACAGATCCCATATTCTTACAATGGGGAATACTATTAGGGCTCCCTGTTGAGCAAAGCACTTGAGTTCATACTTAACTCTTGGCATGTGCCTAAAGTCCATCCTTGTTCGATAAAGTATTTCAGGATGTGCTTCCCTTTAAGCATGTATTTAAGTCCCACTGAAGTCATTGGGGTTTAATGATGTGTTTAAGGTTATGTATGACTTTTTCTGAGTCTGGACCAGAACCAGTAATCTCTGTCTCAAAAAAAATAAAAAATAAAGTGTTTGATCCAACCTCCACTGACTTTAGTGAGGCTTTCCTTTGACTTCAGTGGGACCTGGATCGAAACTCCAGTACACCCACTGTCTTGTAAAGTCTGAATCCTGCAAAGAGCTGAGAGCTACCGAGAGGTGCTTGGTGTCCCTAATTCTGAACGACCTCGCCCTTCAACACTTTGCAGTATCAAGGCCTAACGTGAAGATATGAAATTATTTTTGCCATGGAAAAAAACGGAAAGCAATTTGTGTGCAAACTACTTTGATTTCAGAATCGTTGTCAAAAGCGATACTTTTTTGTGAGAAACCAAAAAGAAATCATTAAAATATATAAGTATAAGTAGAAATTGTGCCTTGTTACTTTTTTACACAGTGTGGTGATGGCTAGGTTGGTTATTTTAACAATAACAAGATGAAACAAAAGACATGTTAAATTGTAAATCATGTGTAAAGGTACAATTAGGCAAGCCAAGAAAAAGTTTAAAGAGCAACTAGCAAAAGACTCAAAAACTAGCAGCAATAACATTTTTAAGAACATGAGAAGCAGAAAGCCTGCTGACCAATCAGAAGGGCCACCGGACAATTGAGCACTCAAGGAAGGTAAGGTCATTGCAGAGAAGCTAAATGAAATCTTTGCATTGGTCTTCACTGCAGAGAATGTGAGGGAGATTCCCACACCTGGGCCATTTTTTTTTCTTTCAGATGACAAATCTGAGGAATAATCCCAGATTGAGGTTTTTGGAACAAATTGATAAATTAAACATTAATAAGTCACCAGAACCAAATGGTATTCGCCCAAAAGTTCTGAAGGATCTCAAATGTGAAATTGCAGAACTACTAACTGTGGTATGTAACCTATCACTTAAGTCAGCTTCTGTACCAGATGACTGGAGGATAGCTAAAGCGACACTCATTTTTTTTAAAAGGCTCCAGAGGCAATCCTGATAATTACAGCCCGGTAAGCCTGACTTCAGTACCAGGCAAATTGGTTGAAACTATAATAAAGAACGGAATTATCAAATACATATGTAACACTGACAGAATCCAGTCATCGCTGGGCGGGAGTGAACTGGGGACCAACTGGCTGTTAGCTCAGGCTGTAGAGCAAACTCATTAATCTCTCTCTCTAAGTGGTCTCGGTGCCATTAGATGGGACAGAGCACCACACCCAGGAGGTGAGTGGGTTACACATAGATGAACACAATTTGTTAGAAAAGAGTCAAAATGATTTTTGTAAAGGGAAATGGAGGGATAGCTCAGTGGTTTGAGCATTGGCCTGCTAAAGCCAGCATTGTGAGTTCAGCCCTTGAGGGGGACACTTAGGGATCTGGGTTTAAAAAAAAAAAACTCTAGGTATTTGTCCAGCTTTGAGCAGAGGGTTGGACTAAATGATCTTCTGAGGTCCCTTCCAACCCTGAGATTCTATGTCTTGCCAATCTATTAGAATTCTTTGAGGGGAGTCAATAAACATGTGGACAAGAGGGATCCAGTGGATATAATGTACTGTACTTGAACTTTCAGAAAACTTTTGACAAGGTCCCTCACCAAAGGCTCTTAAACAAAGTAAGCAGTCATGGGATAAGAGGGAAGGTCCTCTCATGGATCAGTAACTGACTAAAGATAGGAAACAAAAGGTAGGAATAAATGGTTTTCAGAATGGAGAGGGTAAAGAGCAGGTTCCCCCAGGGGTCTGTAGTTGGACCAGTCCTTTTCAACATATTCATAAATGATCTGGAAAAAGGGGTAAACAGTGAGGTGGCAAAATTTTCAGATGATACAAAACTACTCAAGATAGTTGAGTCCAAAGCAGACTGCAAAGAGTTACAAAGGAATCTCACAAAACTGGGTGACTGGGCAACAAAATGGCAGACGAAATTCAATGTTGATAAGTGCAAAGTAATCCACGTTGGAAAACATAATCTCAATACGCATACAAAATGATGGAGTCTAAATTAGCTGTTACTGATCAAAAAAGAGATCTTGGAGTCTTTGTGGATAGTTCTCTGAAAACATCTGCTCAATGAGCAGCAGCGGCAATCAAAAAAGTGAACAGAATGTTAGGCACCGTTAGGAAAGGGATTGATAACAAGACAAAGTATCATAATGCCACTATATAAATCCATGGTACTCCCACACCTTGAATACTGCATGAAGTTCTAGTCACCCCATTTCGAAAAAGACATATTCGAATTAGAAAAGGTACAAAGAAGGGCAACAAAAATGATTAGAGGTATGGAATAGCTTCCAGATCAGGAGAGATTTAAAAGACTGGGATATTTTTCAGTTTAAAAAAGAGACGACTAAGGAGAGATATGATAGAGGTCTATGAAATCAAGAATGATGGGGATAAAGAGAATAAGGCAGCGTTATTTACTCCTTCTCATAACACAAGAACCAAGTGTCACCCAATGAAATTAATAGCCAATTTAAAACAAACAAAAGGAAGTACTTCTTCACACAATGCACAGTCTGTGGAACTTGTGGCCAGGGAATGTTGTGAAGGCCAAAACTGTAACTGGGTTCAAACAAGATTTAGAAATGTTCATGGAGCTTAGGTCCATCAATGGCTATTAGCCAAGATGGTCAGGGATACAACTTCATGCTCTGGGTGTCCTGAACCTCTGACTGCCAGAAGCTGGGAGTAGACGACAGGGGATGGATAGCTCGATATTGCCCTGTTCTATTCATTCCCTCTGGGGCACCTGGCTTTGGCTACTGTCAGAAGACAGGATATTGGGCTAGATGGACCTTTGGTCTGACCCAGTATGGCCGTTCTTATGTTCTAAATTCCTTTTCAGAAATTTTTTTATTGTTGGAGAAGAAACACATGGAAAAAGCAAATATCCCAGCTTCTACAGCAAGGGTGGGCAAACTACGGATCTCAGAAGCAGCCCCCGGGCGGTGGGGCAGAGGACTCCACGTGCATTGCCCTTGGTTCCAAGCACACCCTCCCCCACCACAGTCCCATTGGCCGGGAATGGGGAACCGCGGCCAATGGGAGCTTTGGGGGAGGTACTGGAGGCGCAGCAAGGGCAGCGCACGCAGAACCCTCTGCCCCCTTCTCCCCCAGGGGCCGCAGTACTTCCTGGAGCAGCACGGGGCTGGGGACAGGGCAGGCAGGCAGGGAGCTGCCACCCCGGAGCCACTGTAGGTAAGCGGTGCCAGGCTGGAGCTCAAACACCTCCTGCATCCCACCCCCCCAACTCCCTGCCCTAAGCCCCCTGCCTGCACCTTGCACCCCTCCCACTCCCCAACTCCCTGCCCTGAGCCCCCTCATACACTCCGCACCCCTCCTGCCCAACCCCCTGTCCTGAGCTCCCTGCTGCATCCTGCACCCCCTGTGCACCCCCATGCCCCCTTCCCTGAGCCCCCTCCTGTACTCCACACCCCTCCTGTGCCCCAACCCCCTTCCTTGAGCCCCCTCATGCACCCCGCACCCCCTCCCACACCCCGCACTCCCTCCCACACCCCAACCCCCTGCCCTGGCCCTGCATACGATTTCCCCACCCAGATGTGTCCCTCTGACCAAAAAGTTTGCCCACCCCTGTTCTACAGCATGCATGCTTTAGAAATAAAGAAAAGTTGATCTGTCAACACTTGTTCTTGCCCAACACTGGTGGAATGATTAAAACTAGAGAAGGTCAGAAAATGAGGGGGGGGGCGTGGAGGGAATTTTCCCCCATGGAAAATTTAGATTTTGTCAAAATACTATTTTATTTTTTGTTTGGCCGCTGAAAAATTTTGCCACAAAAAAGGTGTTGGTTTGCCAAAAAAAGTTTACTATGGGAAGGGGTTCAGTTTTCTGACCAAAAACAAAGCTAAAATTTTTGAAGAACACTGCCCCTTTTTGCAACAATGTTTGTTTTAACTGAAAACCCCAATTTTTCCTTGAGGGAGCAGGGGGGATTTTAGATGGAATTTTTTTGACCAGCTCTAGTTAAAACAAACTGAAACAGCAGGGGGAGCTCCCACAGTGACAGCCAATGAGTCTGGGGGAGCTTGGTTTCTTGGTTTTTAGCACAGGAATCAGAGCTGTGTTCTTCCATTGGCTCCTTAATTTAATCTCTGCACACGGGCACAGTGTGGCATATAAATGCCGGGTAAAATGTGATGAGCAGGTGTGACGCTCTGTACCTCGGGGGAACACCCTGCACTCCCATGTTCATCTTTATAATATGATTGTGTGGTATCCAATGCAAAGTTTGTCATGCCGGGTGTCTTCGAAAGGCTCATGATGTGCTGAGCATTGTTGTTATAGTAATGTTATAGGTTGTAATTTCATGTATTCATGTATGAGGCTGAAAATGTGTCCACATGGCTTAAAACAAGCCCAGGCAAAATTTTTCCAGGAGCAGAGGGGCAGTTCACACCTCACCGGGGCATGTATGGGACAAACCCAGCCCAGCCTCACAGGAACAAAGGACACTGGCCTAGGAAGCAACAAAGGATCTGTTGGACTCTTGAGTGAGTCACCCCCCTTCCTTGGTCAGTGTGGGACTACAATGAGGTAATGTGATGAGGGGGAGGGATAGCTCAGTGGTTTGAGTATTGGCCTGCTAAACCAGGGTTGTGAGTTTAATTCTTGAGGGGGCCAGTTAGGGATCTGGGGCAGAAATCAGTACTTGGTCCTGCTAGTGAAGGCAGGGGGCTGGAATCAATGACCTTTTGAGGTCCCTTCCAGCTCTATGAGATAGGTGTATATATATATATATGTTTTTTAATGCTCACCTGACTCTGAAGGGGTGGGGCAAAGCCAAGAGGGAAGAAAGAACATGATAAAAGGGAGAGACATTTGCCATGCTCCCTCTCTCTTCCACCTCCATCTACAGACACCACCACCAAGCAACTGAAGGGCTGATCAAAGGGGAGAGCCTGGCTGAAGGGCAACCCAGGGCAAGCCTGTGGTGAGAAGCATATAAGTTTGTAAGGGCAATGAAAGTGTTAAGATCAGCTTAAAATGCATTTTGCTTTATTTCATTTGACCAAATCTGACTTTTGTGCTTTGATTTATAATCACTTAAAATCGATCTTTTGAAGTTAATAAATTTGTTTGTTTATTCTACCTGAAGCAGTGCGATTGGTTTGAAGTGTGTCAGAGACTCCCCTTGGATAACAAGCCTGGTACATATCAATTTCTTTGTTAAATTGACAAACTCATATAAGCTTGCAGCATCCAGCCGGCATAACTGGACACTGCAAGACGGAGGTTCCTAGCGTTGTGTCTGGACCGGAGATATTGGCTAGTGTCATTCGGTTGCACAATCCAAGCAGCTTACATGCTAGAGGCTGTGCGTGAACAGCCCAGGAGTGGGGGTCCTCACAGAGGAGCAGGGGGTCCTCACA